CACCTTTTTTTTTTTTTTTTTTTTCTGTATCCATCCCTCCATGGTACCTCATATAGGAAATAGCACTCTAGGAGGATCAATACATTACCTTGACTTATTCAAGTTTATGTCATTTCCAATGGTTTGGTTCATGAGAAAAGAATGGAAAGGATAGACTCCAGGTTCTTGGGATTCAAATCACAGAAATCTTTAATTCCAGATTTTTTGCAGTCTACTTTATTTCAAAGAATTGTTGAGGTGTTTCTCACTGCTGGGCAGTAGATTACAGATAAGTAAGGGAAAGAAGCTACAGTGATTTTTGTGGTAATAGATTAGAGTGGAAAACATCAATATGAACTCCTCTTTACCTAAATATGTGTATGAATGACTACTTATAGAATATTTATTGATATGTGAATACACACAGGTTAGTATACACACATGTATTTCCTTATTCTGTCAACTGAGAAGGCTTAGAATCAGTAATACCCCATAGTCACACCACTCCTAATGCCCAGATTTCGGATTAAAATATAATTCTTCAGTATCAGTAAAAGGAACTATGAGTCCTTGAAGAAAGGATTGATTAAAGGAGTGGCCAAAAGTACACAAAATGAGTCTGGAACATTTTCCAGTGCCATAAAGGAAAGACATGCTAAAAAAAATGACAAGGGTATGTCAAAAGGAGTTGGGAGTAAAACTAAAACATTTCAAATGGCTAAAGCTGGACAATTTGAGCAACCAAATAAATAAAGCAGTATTGTATTATAATCCAAGTTATAAAATAAATATCCATAAATTCATGTTGGTATAAACAAATTATTGTATAAATAAATGGGAAAGAAGAGAAAAATCTCCCATGCAGATTTACTAGTATGTTATGTATATTCTTGCTCTCAAGGATGTGGTACATAACTCACCACATTTGAAAGGTGGGCTAGCCATAGTGACTTCCTTCCAGAAACTGTAGTATGAAAGAGAGGAAAGAGAATAAAGGGGAGAAAGCTGACAACAGTGTCTCAGCCAGGTTATCAGGTTAATATGACCAGTGATAAATCATGAAAATATGAAGTGATAAAACAGCACTTTACTTCTGTGATATTCTTCTCCAAGACCCATAACCCCAATCTAGTCCTAAGAAAAACATGAAATTAATCCTACTTAAGGGGTATACTCCTAAAAACCTCCAAATAATTGAAAACAAAGAAAGTCTGAGACACTGTCAAGGAGCCTAAGGGAATAGATATGACTACTAAATATAATGTGGTGTCTTGACTGGGATACTAGAATAGGAAAAGGATGTATTAGGTAAAACAAATAAAGAAATCTAAATATTAATGCATCAGTATTAGTTCATTAATTGTAGCAAATGTGGCATACTAATGCAAAATGTTAATAATAGGGGAAATTGGGTGTGGACTATATGGGAACTCTTTGTACTATCTTTCCAATATTTCTGTGTATCTGAAACTGTTCCAAAATGAAAAGCTTACATTTTTATTTGTCTCAAGAAATTTTTAAATTTATCTTTTAATTTCTTCAGTGACCTATTGGTTGTTAGGAAAAATGTTGTTTAATCTCTATATATTTTCCATAATTTTTCTTGTTTATTTCAAAAGAAGGTACAATCACAGATCTTTCTGTCTTTTCCATAACACATCCCACCTAATCTGCTCAACCAGTTCACACTTTACTTTACTTTTTTCTTAAATATTATAATTGTAAGAGGAAAAATTCCACTGCAACAAGGTGCAGGATTTTATCCAACTATATCAAACAAAGCCATTTTTTATGCTCTAGACCACTGTCTATACTAATAGTGATTTGCTGCTATAAGCACAGTGAATTCATTTAAACCCCAAATGTTACCTGCGGGAGATATATTTTTGTTTAATTCCACTTCGCTGTATATCTAGCAAGGTTTTATGTGTGTTTAATGGAATAATTATATACTGTATTTGAATTTCTATATCCCTCAAAATTATCTTCATGATTCTGACATATTTCTCAAAGTATATGAAAAAGTCCATCATTTTTTTGGAGAGAAGGAAATGAGAACAGGGTTAAAACTGTTTCTTAACTATGGACAACTAAAACATTTATAAAATATTTCATTATTTTGCAGAAAGAGATTTTGAATAAGGGCTCATGGATGTCAGGAACACCAATATTTAAGATCTTAATTTGCTCCTTCTCATTCATACAACAGTATATTTGATAGCTTTTATTAATAAATATATCATATGTCCTAATGTGAAAGATCCTGAAGTCTGAAGGCCATAGGTCAGTTCTGAGCCCTGGAAAAGGAGTCTCATGATCCAAATTATGAAATAAATGTACACGCCTTTGGAATTTATTGTGAAATATTGTACCAACTACTCAATTGTAAGCTTAAACTTACATATGATGGTTATTCACTTTCACCGATCTATCTTATGGCTACGTAGAGGTTTCCTTTAACAGACTGGCCCTAGATATTTCCTAGTGCTTTAGCAGTTAGTATGAAGTTTGGAACTTGCATACCAAAAGTTAGGAAAGAGCCTATATCAAAATAACTATAACAATAGTTAAAACTCACCTGGCATTTTGAAAAATACAGGCAGTCTTTTAACTCATGGCAAGTTTATGCTCTGGAAAAACATTGCATGTTGAAATGGGGTAAGTAAAATCTGGAAACTGTGGAAGTGTTAGAATAGAAAAAATATGTGTCTGTGTTATATGGCAATGACCACAAGTACATTTTACTTACATTTAATCAACTATAAATAACTTTAGAGTAGCCTAAAATTTCTGAGTTATGACATATAAAATTGGACAAATATTGCAACCAATTACATAAAGTGTTCTTTAATTTAGTTTATAAGGTGATTTCTGGGGGAATGGGTGTGGAGATTTATAAGGTTTCAAGGAAAAATTTCAAAAGTTGAGTAAGAGTCTCATTTGTCTTATCTGTAAAATATGAGAGATAAGTAGAATTGGATGGTCAACAAGGATCTTTTTTTGGTGCTAAACTTCTATGATTTAGTCAGAATGGACAGCCTCAGGAGGTAGTAATTTAAGTATTGAAGCAAAGACCAGTTAAATATCTGTCAGGGAAAAAGAGTTTAATCTGGAGACAACCTTCAGGAGAGAGACTGAATCAGAATCAAAATCTAGGTGATACACAGCCCCGCCCCCTATCTCAGGAAAGGAAACCCACAATATTTGAGGTAGATTTCAGGTCCAGGGCTAGGAACAGAGGGGTATGACAAGAGAATACTATGAAACATTCACATTGGGCAACAAAATGACTATATAATGCAACTTCTGTGATAGCTAAATGAAATGGCTTAGGTGTTCATAGCAGCTGCTTTTTATATGTCAAATTGCTTTTTGTATGTTACTTTTCATTAACATCAAATTGCTTTTTATATGTCAGTTTTCAGGAAAAGCCTCTTATATTTTATTTAAGACATAAGAATAAATGCCAATAATATCATGCAGTGAACAAAATTCCTTTTTCCAACCCTTTACCTCTCTAACACATGGCACCATTGTGTGATTTCTCATCATGCAACATACTCAACAGTTGCTTTATGTAAACAGAAGAATGAACAATACAGTGAAGCCCCTCAAGACATTGTTTCAACAGGCTATTCTTTTAATGAAGTTTTTGACTAATAGCACTTTTGGTATCTTATTCAAATCAAAGTCTCCCTTTATTTATTCTCAGGATTGTCTCAAGTTTGCTTATTCCCACTACTGCCCAACATACTCCCCTGGAACACTTTTCTTTTTACTGACATGTCTATCCATGCTTTGAATTTTTGTTCAAATTTAACCTAGTGAAGAATATAACTGTGCAACAAAATCTTTAATCCAGGAAGAGGAGGAAGAGAACAGAAAAATTCCTTCTTTCCATTTGATGAAATTTAGAAGCAGAAACATCAGAACTGTCTGAATACCAATATGTAAAAAGAAATAGAATTGGATTTACAAATCCCTTTGAGTTCAGTATGGGACTCACTAATATTCATCTGGAATGGTACCCTATTCTCAGGACCCAAATCCATATAAATTTTACCAATCAACTATAACATCATACTTCTTTCATCTAGGAATTTGAAAGTAGAAATTTTACGACATTAGCCACCACTTTAAGTACTGATTACAAAAAATATATGGATGAGAATTTTAGAAAACTAGAGAAAAAATAGGAAAAATAGTGTATGCTTGTTCACAGCCTTGAGTTTGATTCTTGTTGTGTTATTGTAGGAAAAATTTCCCATTTAGAGCAGGGTTGGTGAAAGGGGCAGCCATGGGTACTGCACTGGAATTCAATCTATGATTAGGTTGAAAAAAAAAAAAAACTGGAATCTTGACAATGGAGAGTCCCATGGGAGACCAGCTGGTTTTCTTCTAATCTTTTGAACTTGGCTCAGTGGGCTGCTCCAACCCTATCACAAAGGCAAGTTGAAGTCAAAGAAGAAAAAACGGTGTTGATGTGAGCACACACAGAGGAAAGACACCAGTGCAGCTCCTTTGGTGCAACTTGTGCTGCTCACATGGTGTCATGGCGTCGGCGGTGCAGGGACAGGTGGTCAGAACGAGAAAAGCTGCGGTTGCAGTCTGTGCACCGGAAGGGCTTGATGCCTGTGTGCTTGCGGAAATGGCGGGTAAGCTCATCTGAGCGAGCGAATTTCCAGGAACAGCCATCCCAGGTACATTTATAAGGTTTCTCTCCTGTAAAAGAAATATAATAAAACAAAGGAAATAAGAGAGGAGATATTTGAATACTAGAAAGATAAAGGAGTACAGAAATTTGATCAAGGTTTTTGTCAAAAGGTGAGGCACTCATGTTGAAGGCACGCATCCTCTGTCACCTTTCATTAACTAATTAAATTAACACACACTATATATTTGTTGTGTACAACATGATGTTTTGAAACATGTATACATTGTAGAATGGCTAAATCAAGCTAATTAACATACACATTACCTTTTATACTGACCATTTATTGTGGTAGTAACACTTAAAATCTACTCTCTTAGGGATTTTCAAGTAAACAATACATTGTCATTTACAGAATAACAATAATAAGTGGTACAGTTTACAGGAATTTGGGTTCTGAGCATAGGGTAACATTCTCAATAAAAGGAGGTAGAGATGGTAAACTGGAAAGTACATGGGGTCTGGGTTGAATAGGACTTTGTTGAGACTTCACCTGCCTGGCCCCCAGATCAGGCAGGACAAGCCAATCACCAGCCCTCTATATCTCAGTTCTGAGCAGCCCCTTTCAAGGATTAGGACAACTGAAGATCTGCCCAGACTCCACCCCTCTTTTCCTCAAAATTTGGTCAGGATAGAGCACCCTGTTCATTCTTTCTGTCTCTCTCCATCTCTCTATATATATTTTTAATTTCATTTTTAATTTTTTTTTTTTTGGAGAGGTTTTTTTTTTTTTCGCTATAGGGCGCGTGCGCTCACCCCCTGCCCACATAAAACAAGCCAGTCACCAGCTAACTATATCTGAGTTTAAAAAAATGTTTTTTTCTTTTTCTTTCTTAATTGTTTTTGACTTTTTTTTCCCCCTTCATTTTGGTTTGTTTTCTCTTTTGTTTCTTTTTCCTTTTACCTTTCTCACTTTTCTGCTCAGCCTCCACATACTGAGTTTTTAGACAAATCTAGGTGCATAGTAGCCAAACGTGTTATTACTATTAGGGTCAGAATAATCCTCAATTTCCATGGAATTTGCTGCACAAAGGGAGAAAAGTAGTACTGTTTAGAAATTGCACATCACCTCCTCCTACATGCCTTTGAATGCTCAGATATAACTCCAAAAACTTGGAAAAAATTGTATAACCCATCAAATGACCAGAAACCACCACAGAAGCACAAGAAATATGAGAAACTAAGAAAATATCTCACTCATAAGGGAAAAGAATTAACTCCTCATTTTCCACAGATAATACAAGGGAACTTATGGAAATTTCAGATAAAGAACTTAAAATATTCATAGTGACAAAGCTAAGAGAGATTCAAGAGAAGAGAGACAATGAACTCCAGAAGATGCAGGAAAAGAGACAACAAGTTCCAGGAGTCGAGGAAGTTTTTGCATGATCTGAAAGAGGAAATACACTCCATGATATTTAGAAGAAAAATAGAGGCAAAGCATTAATGGGACAAAAAAAATGTGGTATTATCTTTTGAAGATAATTTTATAGTTTTATCAACTGGACTAGGGAGGAAGGTTCACATGTTGAAATATTCACTTTGTAAGCCAAATAACGTGATTGAATGCATAAATGAAAATTAAAGGTAAAAATCTTTAAGAAAAATCAAACAATTGTTAGAGATAAAGGCTGTAATACAAGAAATCAAAATCTCCTTTGAAAGTATTAAAATAAGATTACATCATGCAGAAGATTGAATGTCAGATGTAGAAGATAGAATCTCTGACCACAAAAAAGTCACCAAAAAGACTGAGAACATAACTCAAAAAATGAAAATAATATATGAGAATTACTAGATACCATTAAATGCCCTAATCTGAATAATTGGTATCCCAGGTGAAGAAATTAATAAGGGTATTGATAATCTATTCCATGAAATCCTGGAAGAAAACTCTCCAAACCTAGAGAGGCACTCAAATATCCAGACCCAAGAAATACAAAGGATCCCACTTAGAATCAACCCGAGAAGATCTTTCCCTGGGCACATTATAGCCAGATTGACCAAAACCATACACAGAGACAAGATACTAAAACTGACAAGAGATAAACATAAAGTTACTTTCAAAGGATATTCTATCAGGTTAACATTGGACCTCTCATCAGACACAATGCGAAGAAAGAAAGAATGGGAAAATATATTCATAGTGCTTAGTGAAAAACAATTTCAACCACAAATACTATACCCAGCAAGATTATCCTTCATATGGGATAAAAAAAAAAATCTCAGATAAACAAAATCTGAAAGAATTTACCAACAGCAGACTGTCTCTTCAAGAAGTGCTAAAGGGAGTGCTATACCAGGAAAACTAAAATCAGACACACAGAGATAAGAATACAAAAATCAACCAATAAAATGGCCAGCTTCATGGTAGGGATAAAATCAGAGTTGCATGTTAACTTCCAGAATTTAAACGGAAAGATCAGACCACAATAACACTACAAATTCAGTAGAAGAGAGATTAATTACATGAGAGTGAACTGGTGAAATAGAATTTTATGACTTTTAACTAAACATTACAGATTTTCTTCCATGCTTTGTTTTCCAGATTTAAGGATTTTTGTCTTCTCTTGAACTGTTGCTAGTTTCATCTACCTACTGTTTAAACTGAATCCTAACCATTTTCTTTAAGTCTTAGGCAAATTTTTCTTAACATTTTTTTATTTTGACCTATTAAAACTAAAACTTTTTTCTTGAAATTAAAAAATGCATTAAAATACCTATTTAATGACAGCAGTAAGCTATATAACCTCAGCTAAGTGCTACTTTATAGTATGTTCATTTTACTCACTGAGGTTTGTGCCTAAAGTCAGTCATGTGTCCATAGATATGTATATATCAGTTGCGCTTGCTATTGAAAGTATTTAGATTAATTAAGATCTTCAGCGAATCAATAAAATGTAAGAAAATATGGCATGGAAAGCAACTATAGATACCAGAGACAGTGTGGGAGGAGGGTGAGAAATGACAGAGGGTGAGAGGTAGGGAAGCAAGGGGGGAAAGCAAAATATATAAGAAACAAGAAATGGAAAATTATTTTTTGACAATAACATGTATGGTAATATCCTTGATTGAGCCAATATACAGTGAATTCTAGATGGAAAATCTCATTTTGTATACTGTATTGATGTACAGTGAATGAATGTAAATAAATATATTTAAAATAAAAGAAGAAAACTATGCCAGGTGCATGTGCGTGTATGCCTCAAATCCTGACTTGTGAAAGCGGAGGAAAAAAATCATGGTGTTATAATATACCATTGGGAATGCTTTCTCTCTCTTTCTGGCAAGAATATATACCTTCTGGTAATTAAAAGAAATTTAATTTAAAAAATATAAAAAAATAAGACTTTTTAGGGTCCCAGCTCTACTATATACTGTCCTAACTGTCTTAACTAATAACTTATTCCTGGCTGGGTCTGTTTTCCCATCCTTAGAAAGGGCTAAAAAATATTATATAGTTGTTAAAAAACATTTGTTTTTTAAATATAGCTAGAAATTGAATATGGAAAGTTTCAGGCTCTCAACTAATTTTTTAAAATTTTGTATGAAGATTTTAGGTGATTGTGAATGGAATCATTAATTTGGGTGCCAATTACAAGAATAACAATTATAATTAAACAGAATAAAAGAAAACACCAGCTATTTTGTTAAAATATTGTATGTCAAAAGTAAATTTTAAGATTTAGAAAAAGGTTTTAGTAACTTTGGAAATGGAGAATTTAGAGTTGGGAGTAGGGTTGGTTTTTTTTTATGAGATAATTTTTATTCTTTTTATGAGATAATTTTTATTCTGATTAGATTTTTTTAAATGTACAGCTGAAATTTTAAACATGTTAAATACAGAGAGAAAGCAAGTAAAAGAAACATACTAAGTAGAGAATTACTTGCATAAATCTAATTTTACTTTTTATCTTGGTGTAAATTATGAAGAGGAATGCATCACATTATGAAAACTGGAATGAGGAGCACTAAATGTCTTTATTGGTGATACCTTATTTCTAAATCTGCACATAAGCAGCCTAAACCAAAAAAGATTTTTGTTTGTTTGTTTCCTTTGTTTTGTTTTGCTTGTTTTTCACTACAGCTTTAATAAGATTGTTTTGGGAAAGTTATTTTCCGCTATACTTTATGACTCATGCCTAAAATAAGATGCTTGGAATCAAATAGTTCTTGCCTTTCCAGAGTGAATCATCTGGGAAATAATAGTTTGAGTCCTGCTGTTGCCATGGCTTTTTGTTCTCAGAAACAAGTATTTGAGAATGTACCAAGCTATATGCTAAGCTACCTTCTTGTTGTTGTTGATCTCCTTTGCAACTTTGTACACAAATCAGGACACTATCAGGATGACAGGAGAGTGAACTTAAATTCTCAGTCTTGTCTCTTTACCAAATGAGTATACTGCCTTTTATTTATTTATTTATTTTTTTGAGAGGTTTTCCCTATAGGGCGTGTGCGCTCGCCAGACAGACAGAGAGAGACATAGAGACAGAAAGCGAAAAATACACCCC